TGGCTCCTCTCTTTGGAGACGCCTGGTTTGTTTTTGGTGCTGAGCGAAGGATGAGATCGAAGACGCACGGGGAGCCCTTGTCGGCCATCGCTGCTGGTCCTGTGGGCTTCCTCTGAGCGGAACAGCGCACAGGCACCCAGGGCCAAGGGGGGGTAAAGGAGCAGCCCGGCCTCGCTCTGTCGCCAGGAAGACGCGTGAAGCTCAGGAGGTTTAGAAAGCGGCTTCATCAGTTGAATAAACAGTCTTCTTGTTTCCCGATTAATTCTCATCCTGGCCACCTGTTCTGAGGAATTAGGTCTAAATCCAGAAATGAGCTATTTATACAGGAGTCATTAAAGCAGAGTTTATAGAGATGGAGCATTTGAACTATTCGAAGGGCTCAGAGGCCAGGTTCAGGGCCCAGAGACTCAGTTACCACATGCCAGTCCGGAGAAGTGGTGACGTGAGGAAAGATGCTGAAAACAGTAGGATGCAAAATCCCGATGTCCATTTTGTTCTTAAAAAGCATCTCTATACAGGGAGGGCAAAGGTAGGGCTGCAGTTGTTCATAAGGAAAATAATTATCAATAATACTGGTGATAAAATAAACTCTGTTTTGTGTACTCATAACTGTAAACCTACTTTTGCCTGCCCTGTAGAGATAGATGGATATACCTAGAAAAATACAGGAAGGAAATATAGAAAAATGTTAATATATAACAGTGAGTTTATATCTAGGTGTCAGGAATTAGAGGTGAATTTTTACTTCCATCTTTATAGTTTTCTATGTGTTTTTTTTAAAGTGCGCATGGATTACTGTTTTATTCATGTAGAAATGAATATTAATGTTAACTTATATGCAGACATGCAAGATGTAATAAGTGATAAAGCAAGCTATGAAGTAGACACATAGTGATTTTATATAGAATTTTAAAATCGTCCCATAAGCTATACCGGAAGAACTATATACAAAACTAATCGCACTGGTTGTCACTGAGGGACAGGAAATGCAATTATTGTTTTCTTTTCTGTACTTCCTCACCTTCCCTTTGATGATTAGGCATTACTTTACTAGAATCTGGGAAACTTCAAGACATGACTATGCTACCACCCTTCTCAGTGAGGAGAAAGTTAGATAGTTCTCACATTCCACCAATTTCAGGAGCTCACCCATCAGAAGCAAAGGGCTTAAATCTACATAGTTTCCCAGAATTACTGTCCTAAGACTCAGAGAAGAAACTAAAAGCTCCCTGAGGTATTAACAGTTAACTGCATTTTTTTTCAAATTTCTGTAAATTTAATCTTTAATGTGATGACACACATCTCATGAAATATGATTTCTCTAAAAAAAACACATTAATTTACTTAATCTGCAAATATGGGTGTTGTAGAAATTACAACACCCACTTAACCTGTCACTAAATGTATGTACTTTTTAAATAAAGAACATAATATTATATAGAGTGATGTAGAGATATGTATATAGAGATGATAGAGAGATAAATAGATAGATAGTCTCTTGTTTGTAAAAATGTTTCAGACTCACTGAGTCTTGTTTGTTCCAATACCTGCCCAGAATGAAGGGTGCCTCTGGCAGATTCAAATCCCACACAGAACAAAGCTTTGCTCTCCCACGCACCGCAGTTTGGAGGGAGCCGCTTTTGTAGGTGTGCATGTAAGTGAAAGCACATCGTTCAAGTGTCTTGTTCATATATTTTTTAAGTTACCAAGGAAGACCAGAGAAGTCCTACAGTCGGAAGTTTGGAACAGAGTGTAGCTCGGATAAATTCTGCGTTGGTGAAGACTGAAAAAAGAAGAAAGGTCGAGACTATAATAGAGGGTGTCCCCAAAATGTATACACACACTTTGAATAATGATGAAAGCGGTGGTCATTGAAATACATTTCGTTTTCAAAATTGAGCTGTGAGCTTAAAGTGCATACGCATTTTTGGGGGGACACCCTGTATGAGCACCAGGTAAGGACCTCAGACTGAGGGAGGGGTGAGCCGTGCCCGTGGAGCCAGGTTGTGGAGGGCTTGGAAGCCACAGGAACCAATTTGTACTTTATTATTCAGACAAAAGCTTAGGTTAGTTGATGGTTTGGAGGAAGAAAGTGGCCTGGGCACCGTAAGCCCTGGGACCCTGGGGAAGATCAGCACGGGCCCTGACGAACCATCCATGACTCAGGTGTCTGGGCCGGGACTTCCTGGACCCGCCCCGCCCGGGAAGCCTGCGGACAGCACAGGACTTGTGTCTCCTGTCGCAGGGTTATCGGAACAGCTCTTATCACATCTTATCTGTCAGCACTTTCACTGTAGCTTATGTTGTGATGGGTTCAAGTTAATGATTGAAATCCTGGGGCTCCATCTCTGAAGATCTTAATTCTAAAGGAGCCACCTTCTGCTGGAAACGCTACACGCAGTTCTATTTAAAATATAAGACAAGAAAACAATCGAATCCTTAGGCACCTTTTTGAAAAAATCTCTAATTCGTACCTATAGGGACAGTGCTGCCTGTCCAAGTGTACCATACTGAAGACCACCCATGATTACGTGACTGAGAGATGTGTGTTTGAATTTCAGAAGGGATTTCCTTTTCTGGTATGTACATAATATTCAATCACATTTTTCTCTTTAAAACAATTCTATTGCTTGTCTCTGGGTGGTATGATCGCAGGTGGGTTTTGTTGGCTTATTTTAAGTTTTGTCGCATTTCCTAACTGCCAGGCCTGAGCTGTGACAGCTTCAGTTCTTTTTCTGAGTCCCAGGTAAGCCTTCCTCCAAAATCGGTGACTACTTGATGGGCATCCGATAATCCAAACGCCACCCACCGGCTGTCCCAAGGGTTACCCGGGCGGGGCGGGTCCAGGAAGTCCCGGCCGAGACACCTGAGTCATGAATGGTTAGTCAGGGCCCGTGCTGATCTTCCCCAGGGTCCCAGGGCTTACTGTGCCCACGCCACTTGCTTCCTCCAAACCATCACCTTACCCCTTTGTCTCAAGGGCTCTTTAGACCAGCAGGGAGGTGCCTACCTGCCCCCACACTGAGATAACATTGTTTTCCGGAGCAAAATAACCAAGCAGTTTCAAAACGTCCATGCTGCCTAAAGCTAAGCAAGGACGCTTCGCTGAGATCACTTGAAAGAAAAACGCTTACTCATTGCAAACCCACCTCCATTTAGGTACTTGCTCTGACTTGGTCCCTAGGATTTGGAGTAGACGCCTGGGAGAAGTCAGTGAGGCCATTGGTACCCATCTGCACACCATTTATTCTGAATGAGAACCAGTATGACTTTTGTAAACAAACTTTGTCTTAAATTCAAATGCCTACAAGACACCAACGGGTTTACGTCCACTCAGCTGTTTGAGAAGTAAAAATACCTAAGCAATTTGAGTCTTAAGAATTTGGAAGCAAGAGGCGATTCAGGTATCCTGCCGGAGTGTGGTGATGGCCAGAGGAGAGGGGGTGCGGGGAGAAGGGGGTCCTAATATATGCTGACAGGAGAAGATTTGACTTTGGGTGGTGGGCACCTGGTGCCATATACAGATCTTGTAACGTAGAAGATTTTGTCCCATAGAAATCCCTACCTGAAACCTATATGTTCATGTTGACCAATATCACCCCAATAAGTGTAATGTAAATAAGTAAATAGATAAAATAAAAATCTATAATAATAAAAGGGCAATATGCTAATTAGATCAGACGTCCTTCCGGATGACCTTCCAGATGAAGTCAGGGCTGCGAGGGAAGCCCAGGTCCCAGGTGCCAGAGGGAAGCCGGTGGGTGCCGGCAGCCAGGGGAAGGAAGGCCTACTCTTGCACGAATTTCTTGCATCGGGCCTCCAGTAAATAAATATAAACAAATGTCAGCTGGCATTTGAAGGACGCCAGCCTACTGCTGCTCTAGGTGGCAGTGCCCTCGGCCCAGTGGTGGGCCTCTGCTTTGGAACCCCTCCACGTCCCAGTTGGCCATCAGCCCCACTTCTGCAAGCCTCTGCCAAGTGCCAGGTAAATTCCCTTATTGTTGAGGGTAGCCAGGGCCAGTTTCTGTTGCTGACAACCAAAGATTCTAAATTGCCACCAAATCCGAAAGTTCAGTCTCCACCAGACCTGGGCAGGGGCGTGCACATGGGAGGCCTGAGGCCGCCGGGACCTGCTTCATTTCTCCCTCTGCCCTCTGCTCAGCTGCAACCTTCTTCACTTCTGAACACCTCCTTCCTCCACGGCTTCACATGTGGGGGAAATGGTCTCCCCTAACTTCTGACCAGGAGGCCAGTTTATACTGAGTGATTTTTTCCCCCAAATCCCAAATCCATGCTTCAAAGTAAGACTCACTGGTCAACGCCGACCCTCCTGACTAGTCTGTGGCCAGCATCCATTGTCATGTTGTGCCTTGTGCCTGCCAAGGGTCAGGGAGCAAAGCCATTTCCAGACACGGGGACCCAGGTGTGCCCTCCACAGGCTGGGCAAACACCACCAAAGGAGTCTGCTTCGTCCAAGATGCTACTGTTACCGTTATCATGACTTTTTTTTCCCGAGACCTTCCTGGTCTCCAAAATGTAACCCAGATAACTTCTCTGCCTTTTCACCTCTACCTCCAGATTTTCCCCATTCCTTCCCAACCTTTAATATCATAATCAGTGCATATTGAGTCTGTTTCAGCTCTTCTAGAGCTTCCATAGGTGACATGGTCCCCTTGAAGCATGTCTGCTGCCTCCAACATCTGGCTTTTCACACTCACTCACTTTTTTGTCTTTCGTGGGTTTCCTTTAGCCATGACTCTGGCAAGCCCTGCATCGGCCCTGTGACCACTGCCTGGCGCCTGCCGCACCTCTGTGTGCTTCACAGCCGGCCAGTCAGCAGAGACCATAACGTTCATCAGTCAATGAAATAGTAGGGGGCAGTCACTTTAGAAACTGGGCGTGTCCTTTGTGCCTTCATTGCATTGTCCTAATTAAAATGTCTGGTTGTCAGTTTGTGATGAATTTCAGTGGTGGGAGGGTGGGGTGGGAAGAGATTAACCAAAGAACTTAATATGCATAACCGATGGACACAGACACTAGGTGGTGAAGGCCTGGGGTGGGGCAGGAACCAGGTAGAGGGGGATAATGGGGAAGGAAGGGGACGAGGACATGTGTAATACTTTCAACAATAAAGGTAAGTTTAACAAAACAAAAATAAAAAATGGCCTAGTTCATTTTACCTGATCTGGGGGAGAAAAAGAATTGGTCTATTTATATCCCCGGGACTATATTCATTAAAGAATATTATAGTTGGAGATAAAAGGGAGAATTGCTTGATACTAACAGAAGTCGTTCTCAAACATTTGAATTTCACATCCCAGTAAGTATTTAATAACATAGTATCATCAGAGAGTTACCAACTCTTTTTTTTTTGCCAAGGAAATATATGAAACTGAAGACTAACTCTAATATCAACAGCATAAAAGCAAAGACTCTTCCTTTTTTTAAAAAAAAAAAAAAAAGAAAAAAGGCAGCAACAGGACCAAGGAGCAATCCTCTCCAACAGAGCAGTGCCCATAGCCTGGAGGCACCCTCCTAGAACCCAGGCCCCCGAGACAGACAGACGTCCCATCAATCCTTCCCCGCAAACCTGCGTTTGGAAGCCACTCCTGGCTCCCAGGTTCCCTTCCTACAGTGAAAACTTAACCGGGTGCCAAAGATGACACCTCTTTATTAAAACTCTCCTTTCCTGCGACCCAGGCTTTCTACAGAGGTGGGGGCCTCCTCTCTCATCCCAGTGTGGGGTCCTCCAGTGCCATGAAGTTCTAGGCAGAAGCAAAGGACGCTGCCAGGGGCCAGCACCCCACTCAGCTCTTACACAGCCACGCGTGAGCTTGGCAATATTCTCCTTCTCATCCATGTGGAAGCCGAGACCGAGAGAGGTAACAGCACTCACCCACAGTCACAGAGGCTGGCGGATTCCAGAGCTGGGATTCGACCCCAAGGACATCTGATGCCCTAGTCCAATTTCCAAACCTTTACTTTCCTCTGTTCAACTTCAAACAAGGATGCTGACAACCCACAGACACACCCTGTGCATGTTAGAGAAAAGCAACTTTATGAAACCACTTGTTTTCTTTCAGACGCCAGGCCTGGGGCTCCAGCGAATGGCCCTGTGGTGTGAGTCATGGCCGCCACCCTGCTGCAGCGCAAAGCGTCTGAGCAAAGCGTCTGAGTCACGTGCCCTTCACGTACAAAAAAACGCACTTGAGGAGCTCCATTTGTGACTGAATGGTTTTGAAATCAGGTCACCAGCTCGGGGTGTGCCCAGGAGGAACTTGTTTGTGTTGGCCAGAGGAACTGATTGTTACATAAGTGAGAGGGAATGGGTTGACAGCCCGAGGACACTGTCCGTGATGAAAACAGTATGGACTCATTGATCCCAAGTTTCAGGACAGGGGAGCCTGCTTGTGGCACTCCATAAAATGGCTATTAATCTCAAGGATGAAAAACAATTTCCCTCCCTCCCCATTTCCGCAGATACCTCCCAACATCTGAGTCTCATTCCCCCGCGTGTATATGCAGCCTTGGCCTTGTGCAACAGAATTCTAGTTGAGTTCCACAGTAGAGCTGGTTCTGCCCCTGATAATACTCTGGGCCCTCTCTGAAGGCCTCAGAGCCCTTTACCAAAGACAAAGGGACCCTTCTAGGGTTTTCCTTCCTCAGGGTGGTTTACCTGGCCCATTCCAAGAATAGCAACAAAGTACTGGATATCCATTTCCGTTCTTCCAGGGCTTTGCTCCCCGGGACTATGGAAGTGCTTCCCAGCAGCTCCCTGGAGGCGTCAGCCCCTAGGGAAGTGTGCGCTTGGAGGCTCGTATTTAAGCTTTGGCAAAATCCGGTCAGAGCTCAACAGTGCTTCCTCCAAGTCAACAGTCGTAATAAGATATGCCAAGGCAGGCTCCTGCCTTACAGGAGCAAAACAGAATATCCTTTGGGTCCAACATAATTAGCCATAATAATTCCGTCATGGAATTCCCCTGATTTTGCCCCTGATGACTTAGCCAAGTCATATCATGCAGGAAAGCATAGAATAGGGATCCATGTGATGATGTAAATTAATTATGCAACATATAGGGCACCAAAGGAATTTTTCCAAAGCAAAGGAGCTTAACTTGACTTTATATCTTCCAGACTTCTTATGTCAATAATAACAGCTAGAGCTTACTGAGTATCTACCGTATAGCACATACTGTCCAAAATATTCACTCATTTAATTCGTGCTTCCCCTTTTCATGGGGAGATACTGTGTTACTTTAAAGGGGGCACATCTTCCCCTTGCAGATCTCTATTTCCCCAGACATTCTGAAGAAAGAAAAAATAAAATGTTCCTTTACATATAAGGTTAGTAATTAAACATCTTTCCCAGGAACTGTGTTTTTTGCTACAACCATAGAATCAATCAAATTGGACTCGTACATCTAGAACAAGTAAGGCCTTTGGTCATCTCTGTTATTTCGAGGCCTATTATTTGGCAAATACTTACTGAGCACCTCAACTGATCCAAGCACAGAGAGAGGGACCAAGATAAAAACAGCGAGAAGGACAGTGGTCCTCCTGCCTCAGCAAGCTGGCATTCACATTCCCAGATGTTAACTATAAAATGTTATTGTAACTGTGACATTAGAATAATATATGTGTGGCTATGCTTATTCCCATTTCATAGATTAAGACAAGGTGAACTGACTTGGTCAGAGTGGAAATGGTAGCAGGATAGATTCTATCTCAGATCTGGCTTAAAATCTATAAAAAAAAAAAAAGGTTTTCTCATATAAAATGAAAAATACCTGATAGTATTATTACATGGGGAGAGGTAGTAAAATGCCTGGCACACACACAGTAGATCCTCAATAAATTATAATGTACAGTAACGTAAAATGGCTCATAAACTTGAGTGTACACACTGTGTTTTTCATCTCCTTTAAAGTGGAGCACCTCTTTTAATGAAGAAACTTTTTAAAAGTTCTCCGCATGTCACTGCGTTTTCAGAGGATGTAAGATACATTTTTCCATAATATAACCTTAACTTACCAACAGGGCCGAATTCTACTCAGAAATCAGCAAG